ACAATAACACAACAAGCCGCGTGAGCTGCGATACCTAGGCAGTAATGATGCTTCATACCCGAATCTGTGGCGTTGTCTGTGTATTGTCCTGTCGGTGTCGGTAAGACACTGGAAGGGGCTACCTCTATTGGAAGCGACGCAGTCCATCCCTGGGGTGCATCAATCAGGTCGAAGCAATTTGGAAATTACTTTCGTAGTGAGCTTCCCTGTATATGGTAAACTATTAAAAAGATTCAGACGGCCAGATTCCACCTTGGCCGCATACAAACTATGACTCAACTTTCTCATAGAGCACGAAATACCATACAAAGCTCCTTGGATGTATATAGTGCATGTGCATCAGCATTGCTCAATGTCGCTGTGGGTAAGAGACGGCGATGGATGACGTAACCATTCGGAACTCGACGCGGAAATCTCTCGCCGCCGCACTTCTAGAAGACTCACTCCGACCACGAAACTCACCACCGCATCGCGTCTCCTAATCATCATCCCATACACCTCCTAATACCTCAATAATGCGATCCATACGTTCATCTGCAGCGCGCAGAATCCGCGCATCTCTTACCGAAACCATCACCACTTCGCCATTCCGCACGCGACCAAGCGCAACACCGTGCATGCTCTGCGCACATCGCATACCGCCCCAGACGATATCACGCCGATTTCAATCTTCATCTTCTAGCTCGAATAAAGTCGAAAAGCCATTCGAGACACAACAATCCTCCACAGCGCAATCATCGCAGGTCCCACAAACACACTACGCCTTCTTCCCCAACTCCTTGCCATCTGGCCCGCCCCCAAATGGCCCCTTCGCCATCGACCTCTCCGCTCTCAAGAAGGAATTCCTCCAACTACAAGCCCGCGCCCACCCCGATCTACATCCACAAGCCGACAAGAAACGCGCCGAAGCCCTCTCATCACGCATCAACGAGGCCTACAAAACACTCCAGAACCCGCTTCTAAGAGCGCAATACCTGCTATCGTTGCGCGGAATAGAAGTAGCAGAAGATGAGACAGCGAAGGTAGAAGACCCGGAGCTGTTGATGGAGGTCTTGGACGCCAGAGAGAGCATAGAAGAGGCAGAGAGCGAAGAAGATCTGGTGGAGATGCGGGAGCGGAATGAAGAGAGGATAGCGGAGAGTACGCAGATAATCGACGAGGCATTTAAGAGGGACGATTTAGAGGCTGCGAAGAGCGAGGCGGTCAAGCTGAGGTATTGGGTCAATATCAAAGAGAGCATTGAGAATTGGGAGAAAGGGGCGCCGGTTGTGCTGCAGCATTAGGTGGTGTGGTGGAAGATTGAGAGGCTCTTGTACGATACTACGACTCGAAATGCCGAAAGAATACAACAATCCACTGGGGTTTCCATCTCTTCTAAACAGGAACAGTAATGGGGTTCATAACCCCCGCACCCCCATCAACCCTCAACTCCGCGCCCGTAATATAACTGCTAAACCCACTCGCCAGGAACCCCACCGTCCTACCCACCTCCTCCGGCCTACCCGCCCTCTCCAGCCCAATCGTCCTCTTCTGACTCTCCTCTCCCTGCAGCGCAGCAGGCGGAAACTGACCCTGCGCCATCTCTTTAACACCGCAATCCTTCAGATCAACACCAACATCAATCTGCCCAGCCGTGATGGCATTGATACGCACACCCGTCCCCTTGAGCACCAAAACGCCAGAGCGCACCACACCAAGCGCAGCATGCGACGCCATAGTAAAAGCAGGCGCCCAGCACCCACCATACGTCCCCGCAACACTAGTCACAACAATAATACTCCCATACGGAACATCCTTCGGCGCAGCATTAGGATAACTCCCTTTCGGCGTCGTCTTCTGCATAGCAGCCGGCGCGTACTTGAGCGCGAAGAAAGCCGGCATGGCGTTCGTGTCAAACGCGGCGTACAGATCTTTTGGGCCTGTTTGGTTGATGGACGGCGGACCGAGTAGGCCGGTAGAAGACGTCCAGACATCAAGCCGGCCCCAGGAGTTTAGCACGTCGTCGATGAGGGCGAGGGTGTCTTCTTCGGAGTTTATCTTGTAGGGGTAGCCGATTACTTTTGTGTTGGGGTATTGTGCGTTTATTGAGTCGGCGAGTTCGGCGTAGGGTTCGGAGGGGAGGGAGGAGCAGGCGTATATGCATGCTGCGCCGTGGGCTGGGAGGAGTGTTAGCAGAAACCGAAAGTTGTGGTTTGGGGTTTGATATGTACCGGCGAGTTCAGCGACGATTGCTTTTCCTACGGGTTGTGTTGCGCCTGTTACTACGCATACGAAGCCATACTATATTACATCGCAATGTTAGCCAATGTTGCGCTTCGTCTCCCAGGATGACGACCACTTACCAATTTCCCATCTGCTCTATACGGCGAAAAATGCTCCGAATCAGTGATACCAGCCTCCCTAACACCAGCCCCGTTCGTGTTGTTGGCCATGGGTGCAGGTATCCACGAGGTATTTCAGTAAATTCGCAATGAACACAGGTCAATGTAGAAAAGACACGCGCAACAGCGCGTCTATAGGACATCACATCATTGTTAGCTGTTGATTGACAGCTGCTTGCTTGGGCAGGAGGTGTTATGTCAGTGTACATATCCACGGGGCGCGGAGATGCGGAATAGGCGTGCGATTGTTGGACGGGTGGGCAGCTTATCGGCATCTTATCGGGCTGCATGGTGGCTTCCGCGGGGCTCTCGTGGGGCAGGGACAAAGTCAGGGTAGCTTCATTTACGGACAGCTCCAATGAGTATACGCATGATGGAGATGCAATTGTGAGGAAGATTTTAAGATGTGCATTTGTGAGCTTTGAAGCTCTGTTGTATAGATTCACCACCTGGTTCTGACGGCCAGTCACCATCATACTCGTACACCTCCCGCCAACGCCCTTCAAGATGCTCAAACCCCTGGTATCTGCCTCACAATGCCGCCAATGCCTGCTTCCCATGAAACACCCTATGCCGTCTTCGCTTTATCATCTTCCTGGTTCTGCCTCAACTTTTCCCTCGGTGGCAGCACGTCGGGCCCAAAGCTGAGCGGCAGCAACTCGCCCATCGTCCTCACAATCCACTTTCCTTCTTTGTTAAACATAAAGATTGGTGTCTCCAGTGTAAGGAACTCGCGCAAGAATTGTCTGCACATTCCGCATGGCGAGCAGAAGTCGTCGATGTCGGTTGTAACACCAACGGCCTTGAAGCTTCCGATGCGATGGCCTGCGATGACAGCGGTACCCATGGCGACACGCTCAGCGCATGTTCCAACGGGGTAGGCAGCGTTTTCTACGTTTGCGCCGATTATAGTGTGGGCTGCGGATGTGTCGGTTGCGGAGGAGGTGGTCAGGAGGAGGGATGCGCCGACGCGGAAGAGGGAGTATGGGCCTAATCAAGCAGTCTGTTAGTACCGATCTCCGTCCAAGAATCATGCGCTGCATCATAGAAGCCCGGAAAACATACAGTAAGCCCTCGCCCTCGCATCAAAGCACTGCTCGCCCAAAACCTGCAGCTCCTGCGCCGAAACGCCATGGATCAACCCATCTTTCTCGGTCACAGCTTCACCAGGGCTGAACTTTGGTACGGCGGTTGTTGACATGGTGGGAAAAGGAAAGGAAGGAAGAGAAGAGTGCGACGCGACGCGGGGAGCATTTGGGGAAATTGGATGACGCCAGCCGAGGTTTGCCAGTGGGGCGCTGAGCTATGGCGACAAAGGAAGGTTCGGCCACCTCCGATGCATTACGGAAGACACAAACGTCGTTCAAAGTGCTGACTGTTGTCAGATAACAAATATGCCAGCGTATGGTACGAGGGTTGGGGTTCTGCTGACGATAGCAAACCTCGTGTTGCGGCGGCCCTACCCCGACCCATACCTAGGTAGGTGGCTACGGTCGTCATCAAAGCTATCGCAATCATACCGAATACCAAAGTGCCATCTCAATGACCAGCCCGGATCATGGCCAGGCCCTAGTCCCAGTCAAAGGCTGTATTGTTGGCGACAGCCATTTCCTACAGCTCGGTTGGTTGCTGTCCTGCATCACAAATAAGTGCACCATCCCTAACATTCGCGCGGAGCAACAGGACATTATATTGAACAGCATACATAGGTTTGAACACTAAGCTAGAAAAAAAAGGTAACAGGAGCGATGTTTCCAAATGCGTTCCAGAACGTGTTCAAACCACTCCACTTTCTTTGTCTCACTCTCTTTGTTAACCCGTTTCTGGGATCAAGTTGTCGTACCCAAACAAATTTGCATTCGTCCCAACTCCAACATTCAAACACTGTAAGGAAAACAATTTTCTATCCTCCATATTCCCGAGCAAGCCACCTGGGATTCGCAACTCCTACCCAACCTACGCGCGATCGCTGCCTCAGTTGTGACTCTACTGTCAAGTTCTACTTCCGGCTATTGGCTTTGGTGAACCAGGCATCTTCTTCCTTTTTCTTTGCATCATCAGCCTGCTTCTTCTGATCTTGTCGCTGCTTGTGTTCCTCTCGGTCTGCAGCATTGGCTTCTCCTATGCAGTACTTGCATTTACCGCTGGCATAGTAGTCAACGTCGTGTTTGTCACATCGTGCTATGTGCTTTCTGCACCGACCAGTCTGACCGCACCAGCAGTGGTGCGTTACCTTCGAGGTACGTGTGCGTACCATATCTAGGGGCTGAGAGAATTCGGTCGGTTTTTCGATTGAATGCTAGAGTGGGCAGGTATTGTTTCGTGGTGTCTACTCAACGAAGGAGCAGTCTGCCCGCATTAAATATCAATCGGACAAGCTACTGAAGATTGAGTGAAAAGCAGTGTGCTCACTGCTGTCAACAGGTGCTCGTTCCTCGTCTGGCTCACGCACGGAAAGCCTTTAGGGATCAATTGAGTCACAGCAACTACTCTGTGAAAGCTTCTTTCTCGACATTGTTCCTTCACACAACGCTCAAGGAAACTCTTATATCGCCACACTCAGCTCTACCATTATTCTCACTTGTCCGCTAGATCCGAGCAGAGTTAACTCGGACAACTATGTCGGATAACATCAAGTCACCTGGCGTCATGGCTGAGCCTGCACCGGATGCTGAGAATGACGCGGCGTCCGTCGCGAGCTTCGAAAATTCGACCACCTCAACTGAGGAGTTCGAACACGAGCCCTTTGATACCTTCCAGGTTAAGGCGGGGGAGCTATGCGCAAAGCTGTGGCCTCATCTCTCCAAAGATGCCTTCACAATCACACGAATGGATGGCGGATCCTATAACCGCGTCCTCGGCATTCAGATTGACGGCTCTCGGCGACAGGCGGGATGGCTTATGCGTCAAGCACAAACAATTCTTCGCACGATATGCCCTGGTGTAATCCGTAAGTCAGAGATTCGAGATTACGTCCTGCGTATACCACGTATGGAGCATGCGTGGGTTGAACATGAGGTCTCGATCCTCAAGTTTCTTGCGGTGACAAGCCTTCCGGTACCTAGGATCAAGACCTTCAGCCTCTCGGCGGAGAACCCAGTCGGTAGCCCATACATGATTCAGCCACGTCTTCTGGGAAAGTCTGTGGTTGAAGTCTTTGATGAGCTGAACACACAACAACGTGTTTCATTCGCAAAAGATTTAGGGTGCGCACTAAAGGAGATGGGCAAGATTCAATCCCCGTCTCCCGGTACACTGAATCCTGACACCATACTCGCCGGATCATCAGATACCCAGCTTCTCCGCTTACAATGCCCACCACGAAACGCATTTCGCGTTTCCGCAGACTTACCGGTACCATCTACGCCTCAGACTGTGTACGAATTCTTCATGTCACAGTTCGCTCGTCAGCGCGCATACGATCTAACCCTTCACCGCGACTACCTCAACCCATGGAAACCCTTTGAGGCCATCATCAAACATCTACATACAATGGGTTACCTCAAAGACAACATCTACGCACTAACACACATGGACCTGGAGCCCCGGAACATGCTCCTCCATGTCACATCACCCACAACTGCCTCTTTATCCGCCATTCTCGACTGGGATGAGACCGTTTTCGCCCCCGCTTTCACAAACTGCCGGCCGCCATTCTGGCTTTGGGATTCCGAAGACGATGACGCCGAAGATATGGATGAAGCTGACGCTCAAATCACGCCAAATGACGCTGATCGCGCGGCCGTGAAGAAAGCGTTTGAGGAAGGTGCTGGTGAGGAGTATTGCAAGTGGGCCTATACGAAGGAGTATAGGCTGGCGCGAGATATCGCCAAGTTGTCTATTACGGGCTTTTTCTCGGACATGGACTTTGATGTCGCTGAGAAGGTTATCAAGGAGTGGAATGAAATGTTCCCACACTTGAAGGTGTGTAAAATATCTGACTACCATGAGGAGGAATAGAGTCGTAAGGTGCGATGCTATTGCAATAATGGTATAGGGAACATTCCAAGAAACACTTCAATGACATGGCACATATATTATATTGTGCTCAGTAGCTTTCAAGCACATACCCTTCTTTCGTTGGCATACTATTGGAAGGTGCCACCCGCAACTCGTTCTAATCTATCTCATCTCTGTTATCCTCATAGATTTCGCTAACAAGGTCTATAATATCAGTGCATCTAAGTAGCATGTCTATTCGCTTCAACATGTACTGCCGCATCGGATTGTCTTCTTCTAGAATATATAATGCACTTGATGCGGTGCAAAACGACCGGGAACCCACTCAACATGCTTTCCATAGGGAATGGCTTGACTGCTGCAAACAGTAATATGCACTAGCATCCATCGTCGCACTATAGTACATGGATCATCACCTCGAGCCGCGAATCCCTTCGCAGATCAAAAGTAACTTCTTCGTTGACCCTGAAACAGTGAGGGATCGTGATTTGCAGTGAGACATGCCACCACCCAACCACGTGCCAACATACCTAGATAGTCTGGTATCTCTAGACAAGCCACATCCACTGTTGATCACAGCCTACGCGCATCTCCGCCGTCCATCACGAATGCTGATCAAACATCAGACCAAAAGCCATCGTATCTGATGCATATCAAGGTTGCAAGCGGCTCGATGCAAGTCCGCCGCTAGCTTAGCCTCAACACTAAAGTTGGGGTAGATCTGGGGAAAGCGCGCGTGGCGCTGCGGAGTGTCTCCGGCTGGATATCGATGGCAGTTACAGTTAGGAGACGGCCCGCACGCTGGTTGGTCGCTTAAAGACATGCTGGGAAAATGGCGCACAAGTGGCGGGGCCTATGCTGGAGCTGGACTATGAGCTATATTCGTTTCGGCGGAATGAGTCCGATAGACATGAAGATGGAGGTTGAAGACAGGTGGAATGCAAGAGGAGGCACAGCAAGTGGTGATGTAGATGAAGTTATAGTAGTATCATAATTCATAGATGATTGGATATATACAATGCTGCGCTATCAAGCGAAAATCAAACAGCTAGTCGGGTATTTACAAGTGTGGTAGGGAATCTCTCATAACTCTTCGTAAGCTCCGTGGAGTAGATGCTTAGACAACAGTCTTCTCAGGGTACTCGGTGTAGGTAGCGCTCCTCTTGCGGGAAGCATCAGCCTCGATATCGGTAAGGCTGGCACGGCGGTTGTCGGCGTGCATGTCCTGGACGTCCTGGAAGGAGATGGAAGGAACGAAGCCGGGAGACTTCCAGGCCTGGGAGCACTTGCCGTAGAGCTCGTCGACCTGCTCGAGGGAAAGACCCTTGGTCTCGTAGATCATGGCCCAGACGAAGAAGATGCAGATGAAGCAGCATCCGCCCCAGACGAAGAAGACCTTGGCGCCCATGTTGGCGTTGCCGGGTCCGTCGTTGACCATGTAGGGGGTGGCGTATCCGATGGCAAAGTTGAGGAGCCAGTTGGATGCAGTTGTCATGGAGAGCGACTTGGCGCGGACCTTGAGAGGGAAGATCTCACCAGTCACAACCCATGCGACAGGTCCCCATGAGCAGGCGAAGAAGAAGATGTAGATGCAGACGAATGCGATCAAGGCCTGCTGGGCAGCCTGGTTGTCAATACCAGCAACGGTTCCGGTGATCGCGACAATGAACTGACACACTGCCATACCAACGGCGCCGAAGAGGAGAAGGTTGCGGCGACCCCACTTCTCAACAAGGTATAGACCGGGGAAGGTGGAGGCAACGTTGACGCAGGAAGTAATCATGGTGACGACGAAGGGGTTGCTGATGCCCGAGTTCTGGAAGAAGGATGTTCCGTAGTAGAAGATGAAGTTGACACCAGTGAGTTGCTGGAGAGACTGGAGGGCGCAACCAGTGAAAAGGCGCTTGCCCAAGTTACCACGGAAGCAGTCGAGGTAGGTGGCCTTGCCAAGAGACATCTCATACTCGTGGTTGGCAGTGATCTCAGCCAACTCCTCAACAAGAGCCGGGTCGTCAACGTTGAGGCGGCGAAGGGTAGAAAGAGACTTGGCAGCCTTTTCTGGGCGGCCCTTCTTGATGAACCAGCGAGGAGTCTCAGGAAGCCAGATGCAGCCGGTGAAGAGGATGATAGCCCAAGCGAATTGAACAGCGATAGGGATACGGTAGGAGCCAGTGTCGGTCCTGTCCTTGGTGGAGTTGTTGACGATAGCAGCGAGGAGAAGACCGATGGTGATAGCAAGCTGGTAGCAACCGACAATGGTACCACGAATCCACTTGGGAGCAGTCTCGGATTGATAGAGCGGGATGGTGGCACTGATCATACCAACACCGTAGCCAGCGAAGAAACGTCCGGCAACGAACATGGGGATGGCAGTGGCGACGGTCTGAAGAATGACACCGACGCAGAAGACGATGTTGCTGACAACAAGTCCGAGGCGGCGACCGAGGAAATCAGCAGTGGGTGCTGCGGTGAGAGCACCGAAGAAGGTACCGGCAGAGAGGATAGAGACGATCAAGGAGGTCTGCTCGGCGGTGACATCGAGCATGTGGTCCTTCTTGTTGACGTAGCCAGTGCTGAAAAGCTGTCGCCAGTGGTGCATTCCAAGAATGCCACCAATGGTACCAGTATCATAACTATACTTGTTAGTAGAACTCTTGAAGAGGGATCGAGTTTGCATACCCGAACAAAACACCACCAAAGGCAACGAACAGGCCGACCAAGATGGCGGGCGCGGTCGAGCCAGCTACGCCCTCAGGCTTCTTCAGCATCAGACCCATGATTGGCGACTGTCTGTGAAAGTAAAATGGGTGTGGAAGGAAGACTCAAGTCCAGAGAGATGGTTGAGTACTCGGATGAGGATGACTATCACTCCAAGGCGGGCTGCCCATCTTTAAGTACATTTGGGGAACTGTTCACCGAGCCTGGGGATCTCCATGGGCAGCTGTCTAGTCTGGAGACTGGAAGCATGGGGTCAGCGCGCTAGTCCCGCGGCTGGCCAGCAGGCTAGCGACAGTAGGTCCGAAGCGACTGGGGTAGCTTAGTGGGTGGTCTTAGCCATGATGGTGTTGGAGCTAGAGCAGACCAGACGCTGACCACTAGCACGTCGCTGGCCTGTGGATGCCATAGCGTTCAAATCATCGTGAGCCAATTCTAGTAGATTTGGAAATCATGGAGCCGAGATTCAGTTAGCGCAACGTTATCCAGCGGTCCCACGTTCGTGTTGCTGGAAAACGATGGCAAAAATCGTCGGGTTACGTGACACACACGGTCAGTCTGCTGGCACACGCACCCAACAGTGAGATGACAGTCGCGTGCCGGGGCGAAGACGGGGCGTAGGAGCAGCTAGCTGATAGGACACTAGATGGTAAGCGTCGCCTTTAGCCGTCATGACCTGTCAAGTCGGGTTCATGTAAGCCATGAACCACTGACCTCATTCTGCGGGGATGCATCTTGGTATGCAGGCAGACACCGTTCATCGCCTCTGCTTGATAGACGTGGTTGCGTAGCAAACCATCAACGGATGTTTGTCTGTCGGTGATCATCGGACGGGCACAGCGCATCACTCAACGAATGCGTGATGTTTCACTGGACAATACGATCACCAATTGGTAACGCGTATGCAGACAAGCCTTTCCATGCGCGATTGCTTAGACACACGGCATCCAACTGTTTGTAGTATGGTGGTAGAAGGATTCTGGAATATCGCGACTCCGGTGCTCGGTGTTGCTAACATTGGCCGAAGAGCTGGTACCAGCGCGTAGTCTGTGGGATAACAAGCGCATATCGAAGAGGTGGGGAGATGAGTAGCGTGCAGGATTTTGCTTCTGGCCGCGCCAAAGTCGCAGAAAGACCCCAGGGTAAACGGGGTGCATTAGTTCCCATGCCCTCCGTGAGGCTCAACAAGCATGCTAGAGCACGATAGCGTGGTCTCGGCCAACCAGATGGGGCGGCTACTGTAGCCTCGAACCATGCACCCAGCGCTTGGTCGAACTGTCGGGAGGATTTTCTTGGCCTAACCGATGTAGGGCTGGCAGTCCGGTAGTGTTTAGCTGCGCAATGCATCTGGAGGCAAAGATCTCGTATGCATGGAGTCTGGCAGCAACTCCGCTCAATAATCGGGGTCCACTCGAGACGTGCTCTTGGAACAGAACACGGCTGGTCATGTGGTCTGGATACCGAGATCCACCAAGGCGGCTCCGATATGGCGTGTCTGGAGAGAATCGCGGCAGGGAGAGTTGGTAAAGTCGGAGTTGCCTCCACTATGCATGGGGCGCGTCACACCAGCGTGACTCCCCGTGGAGTACGAGTTTCATGGGGATCACGAGACTCGATATTCAGCTGTCTCGTGACATTTGTGCCAGGATGATGGCGATTTTGCAGAGATGACGGGTTTGTGCCAAATTCGCAGGTCAGGTCAAGCTCGTCGGATGCCCGTTCAAGCTCGCGAGCCAAGACGGCTTGGCCGAGGCACGCTGGCGCCAGGCCGGATAGTCGCTTCCTCCGATCCGAGAAGTCGGAGGCACTGACCCGTAGTGTTCTCGGTACGAGCATGTCATGACACGGTGTCTTTAATGGGACACTCTCTCGTAGTCCTTAATCGATGGCTGGATCACAACGTCTCAATCGAAAGTGATCTTATCGTAAGGGTCTCATGCGCCTCCTCATAACCCTGGAGACATGACGACAGCATCTGCAGGCTGCGCAGTGCGAACATCAATGCGGGGGATCGACGCAAGCCACAATGTTCCCGCCACTGTCTGCGAGGTCACGAGAGACACGACATCAGCTGAAGGGCATGCGCACGCAGCACCAGGTCTACCACGGAACACAGTACGCGCTTGACATGTGAATGAAGAGCCCTGCCTCCGATCTAAGAATGGATACATTCAATGCGCATTTACCCTCGCAAGCGAATGCGACTTTTCCTCGTCATTAGCAGAAAGCAATGATGGCCAGGCAAGCGACGTCCCTCGACCTGGCACCAATCTCATTTGCTCTTG